TATTATTATTTATTTATTTATTTATTATTATGGGGTTTTATTCTTATGCGAAACAGCAGAATGGGCTGCCCAGGGAGGTGGTGGAGTCACCATCCCTGGAAGTGTTTAAGGAAGGACTGGATGTGGCACTGAGTGCCATGGTCTACTTGACATGGTGGTGTTAGGTCACAGGTCGGACTTGATCTTAGAGGTCTTTTCCAACCTGAGTGATTCGGTGGTAATGACGTGGCTGAAGTTTGTAGAAACAGTCTTATTGCAGCTGAACTGGTCAGGCACTGGAATAGATTACTGAGAGGTGGGGGAATCACCACCCCTGCAGGTGTTTCAGAGGTGTCTGGATCAGGCACTGGGGGATATGATTTAGGGTTTACAGCAAAATGGCAGATAACGGCTGGACTTGATGATCTTAGAGGTCACCACCAAACTTGATGATTCTGTGATTCTATGAACTCAGAGCATTTGAAAATTTGGACAGTGGCTCCTGTCTTGGGGGTCTGGAGCAGATCCTCTCACCTTTTTCAGAGCAAAGGAGGCTGTCTGGCCTCCCCGCACCTCCTTGACAGGCATTCTCTTGCGGTGGATGGACTTGACAGCAATAGGTAGGAAGTTGCCAAGGGGGTCTGGCCCCAGCAGCAGGGTGTCATTTAGCTTGATTAGACCTCTCAGTGTCGTCCCAGAGACGACGGTTCCTACACCCTATGCCAAGAAAGAAAAAACAGTAATTGGCATTACTCAACCAGACCAGCAGAAAAGCTCTAAAACTCCCTTCTCTAGGGAAGATACCTTCTTCAACCTAAAAGAGGGAATGGAACATTCCTCCAAACACCAGCCCCTTACCGGGACAGAGTAAGTATCATCTATCTGGAATTCTGCTGGCTCTTCTTCCCTGTAACTGGTCCGTGGAGACAAGAGATTTAGAAACATCTTCAGCAAATCTAGATTCTCCCCAGTGACATTTGAAATCTGGAAAATTGGGCACATCCTGTGAAGGAAAATTGATGAAAATGGAGTTAGTTCACCTTCCTGCCTAGGTTTCCACATGTAGGGAGATATCCAAAATCTTGGGACTGAATTCAATACACAGTGCTAGGAAGGGAGAGCCTAGCAAGCAGTCAGATGCACAACACCCCATGTTTGAAAACCTGCAGCACTGCCTTCTAACGACACTTGGGAAATGGTGTAAGGCTCCAGGTCTGAAGGAAGCAGAACACCCTGCTGTCTTCTGCAGGCTGCTCAGAGGCAGCCTCTCATTTCTGCCTCAGAGAGGGGAACACAAGCAGGTCAACCTTAAAATCAACACACTCTTATGGAATCAACACACCACATGGCAGATGCAACCTTCACACATCTAGACAATGTGACTCTCTTTCTGAATCTCCTCACCCAGTCTCCAAATAGGATTGAAAGAGAAACGATTCTCCTCTACTCCCGTTACCTCTCTGAGCTGAAGTTGGAGGCTGTTACAATGACATCATCCTTGCTCTGAACCAGCACGGGAATCTTCCTGCACCCTGGGGACTTCAGCAGTCGCTGTAACAGCTTCAGGGTTTCTTAAAGGGTGAAATGAATATTGTTAGGGCAGCGTCTCCTGTCTTTACAAATCACTTTTGCGGGATCTCTCCCCGAAGGGAGACGGGTGCTCTGGCCACAAACAGACAGGAGAAGATGGCTAAAGGTGAGACCGTGAGTTTGCTGCAAGCCCAGGTAGGTCTTAGGAGCCATTTCACCTTCCATTTCATGCCAGCTAGCTGCTGCCAAGCGTCACCATACATGAACAGACAGACAAGTTTGCATCTGCAAGTGCAATGCTGTGAAGGAGACATTTTGCAGCTTTAATCAGTTACAAGGTATTTCCTCTGCCTATGAAAGACTTCTTAATTGGATTAAATGAAAACCAGCTGCACTCAGGAACTGAAATATTTGAGAATAAGTGAAGTAGAAATCAGTTTTGACCAAACCAACTTCAACACATTTTTTTCCTGGCAGTCAACTTGACCTAGGAAGCTGGAGAGGCATCATACACTAGGACAATGTGGGTGGACCAGATCCAGAAGTATTTTGGGACAAATCTCATGGTTCCCAACTTGTGTCTTCTGCCTCTTTTTAATTTATTTTATAAGCCTCACATCTATCAGCCAGCAGGGGCATTACCTGATGCACTAGCATCAGCCTCCTGCAAAGTGCCTTGCAATAAACGAGGGGAAAAAAGGGTAGTAAGGGCTTAAAAGAGCAAATCATTTATATTCTGCAACTGTCATCCAATTAGATGGGTTTTTTGTGATTGCCTATGGGAAAGTAGTGTTTTGGATACAGAAACACAAACATCTAATCATGCCATCTGCTCTTCACAGATACACTTGAGTCAAATCTTGTGTCTATTTACTTTAAACAGAGCATGTCACAGGAGTGGTTTCTCCCAAGAGCAGCTCTTCTCCCCTCACCCTGAACCAAATGTTCTCCTTCCTTCCCAGTTATTATCTTACGCTCAGGCCCTAGATTTATTTGCCAAACACATATTATAGAGATATTCAGATTATCTTCTGATCACATGCATTTATTTACCTGAAACATATCTAGGATTTTTACAGTAATGAACTAACCACAGACAGCAGCAGGAGCATTCACTTCCCTGATTCTTAGGGCTGATTATCAAAACCAAAACATTGCTCCAATTAGCCACAGCTTGTTCCTGAAGGCATGTGAAATGCTCACAGAGAATTTTAAAAACAAGAGTTGGTCACAGCCTGAAAAAAAAGTCAAGCATGGGTTAATGGGACACTGCCAGGGTTAGAGGTGCTGCTTTAACAGCTGCTGAGAAAATTCATCACTCTCCCCTGCTGCTCACTGCCATTCCCACTTGTGTCTAGTCCTGTCTCCCATCCTGCTACCGTAGCCCATGTACGCAATTGCTTTGAGTCAGGATTAATTAAAAGTTGGTTGGTTGTTCAGACAGCGGAAGGAGCTGCTGTGGTTATGCTACTGTACCCAAGAAGTGCCCAGGTGAGCAGGATGTGACCAGGCAGCTGCCCCTTCACTAACTGCTGCCAGAGAACAAGTCTGATCACAGCTTAAGATCACACTCAAACTGTGGGCAAGGAGTGAAGCAGCTTTCAAGTGAACTTCAAGACTTTTCCTCCAGGTTTAAATACCCAGAGAGAAAGCAATGCCACAACCCTAACTGTATGCTGCTCCTATTAGAGCTCAACTAAGTAAAACCCTGCAAGAAACACTTTCAAGTTGCCCAGTTGAGTCTCCCAGTACAGGTGATTTTTGACATGGTGACTACAAGTGAACCACCTACAAAACAGGCAAGGGAAAAGGATAGATTTCTAGAAGGCGTTTAGGATGAAGTCAAAACCAGATAAAGCAGCTTCCCTCCAGCAGTAATTCCTGAACCCAAGCAAAGGACAGCAGCACATACAGAGGTAAGAAACATCCCTGGAGAGAGCCTGTAGGACTCACCTTGCAGGATGTTGGCAGGGCACATGTCAATCTTGGTCACCACAACAAAGACAGGAACGTTAAGTGCAAGTGCCAGGCCCAAGTGCTCCTTGGTCATTCCAACAATCCCAGCATTACTGCCAACCTACACCAGGGATACAAGACACAGGGACATAAATGTTCCTCCTGCAGTAAGCTGGGTTACAGAGAAGCCTTGTGCCAGACATGCAGCAGACTGTGATCAGATTGTAGATGTGTCACTGTGAATGTACAAGCAGACCCAGCACATTTCAAACGCTGTTGGACACAGGCAAAGGACTCATTTCTCCCCAGTTTTAATAAGGTTTTCTGGAATTTAGAACTATTTCCGTTTTCAAGAAAAACAAACCTTGGGCATGTCTGGGACTGAGTGTCCTGGAGAGACATACACAGAGGCTCCTGCTCTCCACCTCTATGAGATGCTGCTTCCCACCACAACCTCACAGGGTCAGCACATCTTTCTTGCTACCTACCATGAGCATGCAGAAGTCAGGTAAGTGGCCAGTCATGCCAAAGACGGTGGTTTTCAGGTACTTCTCATGACCAGCCAGGTCAATGAAAGTAATGACCTTGGTGGATTTCTCACAGATCTTTGTCCACTCCAAGCTGCCTCCGTGGCTGTCAGGTTTGTTCACCACGTTGCCCTCACTGTCAAAGCCCAGGATGTCATTGCCCACACTGCTGGTGCGGCCAGACTCGATCTCGTGCTTGTGGCGGAAGAGCTTTTGCCGAGCGAAGCCTCGGCCGTTGTCTAGCTCACCATGAGTCAAGACACCCAGCAATGTGCTCTTGCCTGCATCCACATTGCCAACCACTGCTACCCTGGAGGGCAGAGCAAAAAAGAAGCCTGGTAAAATATGATACTGAAGAAACAAACAAGCCATCAAAAAAAAAACAACCCCAAACATCACTGCTCCTGCTAATAACTGGGTTTTCTGCTTATCCTTCAAACTGAGACTCAAAAATGTTAGACCTTCACAAGCAGAGCAGAGATTCTTTCGCAGTATTAACTAAGAGTGAAGACCCCAGACTCTGGGGACTGAGATATGGAAGACTATGCGTGGAAACATGTCACTGATGTCCAGATCATAGTTAACTGAATCTGACAATGCTTGATGCCACACAGAGTGTCCCTCTTCCCACTCCTTGTGTCTGCAATCCAATATATAAGCTGTGGCAATTCAAAAGAAAGACTAAACCCCAACTTGGTCTAGAATACCTCTTGCCTTTCTTACATTGCTCTTGCTGCAAAAGCACCAAGGGCTAAGTAGAGCATAGAAATTGAAACTGTTGTTCACAGAAAAGCAAAAGCTCAAACAACAATGAAATGTTTTAGGGCAAAACCTCTCCTACATAAATCTGCTTCTTTGACTCTGATCAAGGTGGCTGTTATGGTTGTTGGCATATATTGGAAATTCACTCCATCCAGGTCTGGGCAGACTCTCAAGTCATGTTACATAAGCTAGTAAATGTCCATTAAATGGTGATTCGGATCGTCACAGTCTTGGAATAGAACTGAATCCTTAGTTAAAAGTACTTTGTTCCAGCAGTGTGCTATATGCATGCACATACTGCCACGTGTGACTCCCTTCTGGGACCCCAGCATACAAAAGATTCCCAAACTGTGAAGCCATTGCCCAGACAGCAACAGCCCTCAGCTACACACAGGCAAATTTCCACCGAGTTTGTTCACAAAAGAGACAGCAACAACAACAAAAGAGCAATGCCATCAGCGAGGAGTGGTCAATTCCCTTTGTTGGGCAGCTACAACACCCAGACTCAAACCGGCGTTGCTGGCTCAACATCACGGCCTGCTCACGGGGTAACAATGCAGCTGAGCTGCTGACTAACCCTGTCTCCACCCAGCTCCTCACCTGACCTCCAGGAAGTCGTTGTCACCCACACGTTTCCGAACGAGGTAGTCGCGCACCTTGCCCCCTGCCTCCTGGTGCTCCCGCAGGAGGATCACATCTGCCTCGATCTGCTCTGCCATGCTCTTCAACGTGGCATAGGATGCTTCCATGTCTGCCTCGCTCAGACCATACTCAGTCCCATCTAGGGTGGTGTTGAGGAGACAAAGAACAGTCACTGAGCACCACCCTGCAATGACCAGCAGCAATGTCATCCTGCCTGGGACTTGCACGGCGATGGAGATTTTTTGTGGAGATGTCAACCACGTAAACAGAATGAGCACCCTTTGCCCAAAATACAAAGAGGTGGTCTTCACTCTGGGTCTTAAAAGACACTAGCAAAGCACCATCTGTCATCTAGAGGAGTTTTCTTCACAATTTCTACAAGCAAATACTTAGGGATTGGCAAGCAAGCCACATTTCACCCTTCACACACTAAAGGGACTTTGCATCCTTCAGTCAGATGAAACATCTTTGCTTGCATTGCAGTAAAGGGTAAAGCATTAACAGAAGGAAAGCTCTGACTGAAGTATCACCACGACTAACCAGTCAATGTGGGACCAGTGTAAACAATCAGCTGGTTTTATGAAACCACACCCCAAGTACGTATTTTCTACAAGTTTGGCCTGCACAGCAATTTCTTTAGCTCCCACATACACCAGTTAAAATAATGTTTTTGCATGTCTCACTGCCTTCATCCTGGCACTTGAAAGAAATGCTGACAGCACATGAGACCAGAAAACCACCAAGAAGGCACTGCTTCCTCTGAGCAGCTCACCCAAGCGAAGAGCCGACAGTCAGAGCAAGCCAGTGACAACTAGACACTAACAAGGCCACCATGGCTTCTCTCCTAACCCAGGTGCTGAGATTTTGTCCACAGATTCTAGGCTTGAATCTCCTCTGTGGGTAAAAAAAACACAACAGAACAACAAAGAAAGGTGGAGAGCCACATTGCACCTGGATGACCAAAGCTGCTGCCGTGTGTGCGTGTTTATGTGCATGGCTGACTCATCGGCTGGTAAGCAGTGACTGCAGTTTGCACAAACTAATCAGCATTTTAACGACTGCACAGCTCTACAACAAGCAGAGTTACTGGGGGATTTCTAGCCTAGCTCATAAGCTGGCTGAGAAGCTGCTGAGACGGTGTGGAAATCAAAAAGCCCCATAGCTGGAGCCTTGGGTCATAGAAGGGGAAGGTGAAGTACAGGACAGGAGAGGGTAAGAGCCAAGGGAGAAAGGGAAGGGGCACTAGTGATAGAGCAGTGAGCTTCCAGGCAGTCTACATTCACTTCTCAGTCATCAGAGCTGAGAATCTGATGAACAAAATCAGCCCCTCAGAGTGAATGAGAAGGAATGACAGCAGTAGGGACACCAAAATTCCTTCTCTGTCGAAAATATCCCCTTCTTCCTTGACTACGCAGCAACCCAAACTGAAGTCAGAAGTTTAAGATCATATTTTAAGAAACAAATGCCTACTTCTAAGTACATCACTGCAACAGCCACCAGTTAACAACCTCACAAGGCATCCTAGAAGACAAAACAGGTACTAGCCCATCTCCACTGCAGATGGGGTTAGCCCAAACACCAAGGATACAGATTACTTACGGGAAGTTTGCTTGGAGGTAAGAGCATCATCCCTGTGAGGCAGTGGCTGCATGGCAACTGGCCAACTAATTCTGGCTTCTATTCTGCATTAACTGCTTCTCAGGACACCAGGAAAACCCAAAAAGCACTCAGTTCTGAGGTAACACAGCTGTCTCCCTCCATGACCTCAGCCAACCCTGGCACTGACAACTGGGGTTTTGCATTCTTCCTCAAACACAGTAACTACCAGAACTTCTGATCATGACAACTTCTTATCCAGCAGTTACCTAGTAAATTTGAAACATGTCTTCAGCCTTATGATAGGCATAGGCAACTATTTTATATTCAGAACAGAAATTTCAATTTCAAAGCAAGGCCCTGTTCAATACTACTTTACCGACATCAGATGCAAATATTCAAATTGCAAAAAGGACAAAAAGAACATAATTTAGCTAACTGCTAAAATCTGCAAAGGCAAATGACTGCAGTCACACACAAATGTGGCAATAAAGACCTCATGCTGAGCTTCTCCTCCATAGCACAGACACACCAACAAAGAAAGCCAAAATATATGCTGCTGACTATCTGAAGTATCTATAAGACATTCCTGTGGGGTAAAAATATGTTACTTCCAATAGAGCAGTGAACAAAACCAGGCAGAACAAGACCTCCATCAGACATTGAGGATGTCTGTATGAAAACTGTTACCATAATTTTAGAACCTTTGTCTTTTCCTGGTGTGCTCAGACAACATATGCCTTATTTCCAAAAAAGAACTTGTATGATTCGATACAAAAAATATGTTTAGCTCCACTACATAAGACAGTTGCTGGCAAGAATAAAATAAAGAGTCAGTCCCACATATTCTGCAATACTTTATGGAGGTTTCCAAGTTATTCTGGAAATATCAGCACTACCTCCAGCAGCAGTACAGTTAGATCAACCATGTTTTTTCCTACAATTCTAGTGGGTTTTGTTGTTCTACTGAGAAAGCTATACTCACCTGACCCTTGCCCAATGACATAGATGGTCTCCCCACACCCCTCATCAATTCTCTCTGACATCTGCTGGAGCAAACTGTCATACTGCTCTGAAGTTGGGCTCACCATCACCAGCTGGAAAAAAAAAAGATTCAATATCCATTTGAAAATGTCAAGCAAACAATCTCAAAACCAGCTTCAGTTACAAGGACAATCAATCCACGTGTTTTGTTGAATGAGAAGGGCTTTTACTCCAGTACCACTTTCTGGTGGTTTGGTTTGTTTTTTTTAAACCAGTTTTGCTGACAGCTATTTCCTTGTGACACTGCACAGGCTGTTTGACAGAGCTCACAGCTCATTTAGGCTGAAAGATACACTTCAAAGCAAGTAAGAACACCAGGCATCTCATTTTGATGTAACCAATGTTTAAAAGCCACATTTAAGTGAACACCCCAATATGCTTCCATGCAAGGAAAACAGGAAAGGGAGGAGATATTTCCTCAAAGAAATTCCTTAGCTGGGTACTCCACAGTCTCTGCTGCACAGGTGCTGTTGCTCCCCCAAAACATGATGGGACAGCCAGGGGAAGCCAACCAGACCTCACTGCAGAGCACACCAAAGCACCAAAATCTAGAGCATCTTGTAAGTCTTTCCCATATTTGATCCACTCTTTGGTTTTCTGAGGAGGCAGAAGGAGAGAACATGAATAACCATTATTTTCAAACTCCTAACAGAACTTTAGGTACATCACACTACCCTGCTGAGGTGCAGACAAACAGAGCAGTTTGTCTGAGTGCACCTTGGAGGTTTCACTAGTGCAGAGCTGCAGTTTTGCAAGCAGCTGTGCTTCCCAACGAGCTTAGACTGCAGCTATTGCAACAACCACAACTACTTCCTTTGCCCTTCCCTGCAGAGGCATCAAGAGAATGAAAAAAATAAGATAGAAACAAAGCAGAAAACAAGGACATGAAGAGCTTCAGGAATCATTTTTCTTACAACAGAATGCTCTAACACCATTTCTGTCACAAACCTGTATTACTCACAGGGGACAGCTGAGGACACTCACACTGAGCGGCCGCAACGGTGGCATGGAGGCGACAGACCAAGGAGACCTCCATCATCCAGGCTACCTGCTCTCTGGCTGCCTCCACAGGTACAAATCTGTTGGTGGCTGAGCATCCTGGTACCAGTGTGTCTCAATCTCTCAATAACTGAATGACTGACACACACATTTCTGTTAAAATGGCACTTTGAGTCCGAGCTGGAAAGACTGTCACCCGTTGAGCCCTGTGGGTAGACATGTCTGTGCCACACTCCAACACTCAGTGACATCCACACTGCCACTAGCTGCCCCTACATACATGTTCCAAGCTCACACCCAGAAAGTGGAACTTCACTATGCACTAAGGCCAGTCTGAAATCCAGGCTAGATTTGCCTAAAACATATGGTTTACAGCAGCTCACCATTACATCTCCAAGTCTGCCCAGCATTCTCTAACACAGCCTGACCTATTAGCACAGCAAACACAATGTGCATTTAAGGAGAAACTACCTTTACTACTACTATTAAATAGCTGATGAAAGGCCTTTACTAGAAATCTAGAGTGCAAGGGAACCCAAAACCCCACAAATAACACTTAAGCAGCTCTCAAAACCATAGTGACGCATGCATCTGGAAAAAGAAGCACAGACAGCAGGTGCTGGTTAGAAGGTTTAAGGCAGTTAAAGCACAGCTATGTCTGCAAGGGCCACACAGCTACAAGAGAGACAGCCACTTTCACATGCCCCTTTTGGACACATGCCCCACCTACACCTCGGCATGGTCTGCAAAGGGTATCCAAAGCACTCTGATCTGGAAGGACACACAGTTTTTCTATTTCGTGCTACAAAAGACTGAATTTTGCCTTCATTAGTTTTTCTTTCACTTTCATTTTCCTTTCAAAGGAAACCACTGGATGTATTGAGAGGAAAACAGCAACTGTTCAGAGGCTTGATCCTGGCTGGAATGGGAGGCTGTGTGTGGACATGTAGCCCTGGTTTTGCCTCATAAGTACTTGCAGGAATTCCTGGAAGCACAGCAGACAGGCTCACTGTTTAGCCCAGTGCAGCAGCACAGGTCAGGGACTCAGAAGATCTATTAAATAGTCTGTCACACAGAGATCAATAAAATAACAGAGGCCACCAGTGTAGAGGCACACTAACTTCATTTTCTTCAAGTCTCATCACCAGCTTTATTCTTCTTTGAGTCCAAATGCTTCAGCAGCATGAGCAGGCAGGGTGTTGGACCAAGTACCAAGGGACATTTCAGCTGAGTAGCTCGTTTACCTCTTCTTCATGTTGCCAGGCAGGAAGGGCTCAAACAGCAGAAGCTCACACACAACAGCTCAAAATATTGTTGCTTCCACTGCCATGCAGAGGTGCTGCTGAAGGGTGTTCCAGTGGCAGACTGTCTCCAAAGTTTACTCTGGGGCTGGTGAAGCTTACAGCTGATATGATCTAGTGGGACATCAAGAGAAGTATGTGTAGATCAAATGGCAGCTTCCATGGATCACACCTTCCAATGCTGCTCAGTGCTTCTGACAACTCCTTCTGCAGCCCCAGCCAGTTCTGCAGTTTCTTGGGTCACTGCAAGAGTTTACATGCTGTTTTGAAGATCTCTTTAGCTAGCTTCCTGAACAGAGAGAGCCTGTTCTTTGCCATCTCCTTGGCTGGAGAGAAGCCCTCGATTTTGGCCACTCTGCTTCTATGGCTTTTCACCTCTGAGTAAACCCCTCTGCGTTTGCACTATGTATTCGTGTTTTTCAGAGGTTTTCACAAAGTCAAGCATGTTCACTTTTGTTCTTTCCACTTTGCCAGACACTGAGCAGTTATCAGTAGGAGCCATGTGGGTCTAGCACCCTCAGATTTCCTACAGGGTAAAAAAGTAACAATCAGTTATTGTTTTATTCTCAAGACAGCAGAAGGAAATATATCTCACAAGTCTGACAAGACACCTCTAAAGGTCCTTCCCATTCTCTCGGGAGCTTTGCCTGCCTTTTCCTCTGATCACTTTGGGGATTAACACACACCAGAGGTGGGTGACAGCTACAGCTGCCTGAGCTTACTCCTGGGGGACAAATTCTGCACTGCCCAACAGCATGCAACAAGCCATAGCACTAAGTAACAGCAATTTCAAGACAACAGTGAGACTGAGCTCTACCAGCACTACTACAGGCAGTCTCTACAAAAAAAAAGGTATCCTATATCCATGTGGCAGACAAACTAGATATTAAGGGCAAACCACGTACCGTGTGGTACAAAGTGCTGCTCTTCATTGGAAAAACAGAGCCTGACATTTTGCATGGCTGCAAGGCCACCCCCAACCATCAGGAAGTCAGGGGAAAGGCATCTCCTCTAATGTAATGTTTTGTTTTCTATTTCCTGTAGACATACACATTTCAAGTGATATTAATGTTCTTGTTGTCAATGTAGGTCTAATGTAAGTATCAGCTTCACTAGTAGCCTTGTATGATATGGTTTTTGACCTGAAAGTTGATTACTGCTGCAGTGTGCTGGCACTGAAGGGAAAACAAACACCCATTAAGACCAACATGATAATGAATCTGTGCTGATGAATTGAACTGTTTGCTTGACCAGCTGACAAGGTGCACTTGATAACTGAATCCCAAAGGGTTCCTCTCTAAAAAGAGCTCACCTTGCAGTGAACAAACCGGGAGAGGACTGGGAGAGAAGTATGTAGCACAGCAAGGGGTGGGTCAGACCAGGACAGGAGTAGCAACTAGCAAACTGAGTGGCAGTCGGAGTCTCCATTTTAACAGGGATTAGAGGGGAGCAATTCAACTGGGGAGGCAGAAAAGATGGGGGGATCTGGGAGGGCACAGATTAGCTACTGCATTCTCACCCTATGGGATTGCTGCTGTGGGCACACAGTGGGAGACTAATGTGGAGAGATGAGGCAGAGCTCACAGTTTTAGCTCTCATCCAAGACAGAGCTGAATGAGAGGTCCAGGGAATAGACAGCAGGTGCATAGAGCTGCATAGGAAAGTAAACTGCAATAAAGGCCACAAAAATGCTCACCTACCACTTCTATGGTGCCTGCTGATTTCTAGGAATGGCAGACAGAGCGACTCCACAAATGGAGTTTGTGAGAGAACAGCTCTCTTCTCGCCTTGCCAGAGTCTTGGGCAGGTTCCTGGCTGTTGAGAATCAGTGATGTTGTCCTCGGCATCCTCCTTGGCCCTCTTCCACATCAGTCACATCCAAGACAAAGCACAGATCAATATTGGCATCCTCTATAAAAATCTCATCCAGCTCATTAAGGCATAAGCAGGTGGCTCAATAGATAGTGCAGGTTTGATTTCTGTCCTTTACTATCTTACAAGACATCTTCATACCATACAGCACCACATGATGAAATATGTAGTCATTCCCTCCAAAAAAAACCCTACATTTCCATGTCCACACACACCACAATGCCTCTCTCTTCACTTCTCTGTGCACAGAGGGCAAGCAAGTCCAGGACTTTGGAACAACTTCAGCTGGAAGCATGAAGAGGAGGGATGGCAAGAAACTAGGAGGAAACACCAGCTGTGCTGACTGCTGGATCACACAATTACAAGTGGACTGAACAGAGTTTTCAGGAGACTTGGAGACAGCATCACAGCACCTCAAACTCGTGGCAGCAAAAGGTATACAGGCACAGAGGTCAGCCAGTTGGGGAAAAAAACATAAGACAGTGTGGAAAGGCAGCTGATGTAGTCTGTGGCAGGTTCTAGCATACACCTGTTACTACAATGGACCTTCCCGTGAGAGCTGATCCTGACAGAAATAACACCACCACACAGTTTTGTCACTAGGACCCTAGAAAGGAACTGCACAAGGTGAACAAACTTTTTTGCATCGACTTCACCCTGTCTGCAATACCAAGACACCCTTGTCACTGAGCTCTGACCTTCTTTCACGATTGCGAAGAGAGCCCCAGGAGCTAGCACAACTGGCAGCAGAGATAACTGCAGAGACTCAGCACGGAGGGAAAACGTCCGCGGGACGTGGCAGCAGCTGTCAGCTTCAAACGCTGCGCCTGCTGAGGAGGCAACAGCACCAGCTGGCCGAGGAAGGACGGAGCAGAGCAGCC